TTACCTAGAATCAGACTTGGGCTCTATCTGCAGTCCTCAAACTCTGAGCCTCAAAATCTTAAGGTCAAGTCTGAGTAAGATGTTCAGTTGCTTCTGACACCTCTAATCCCAGCGTACAGTAAGCTGAAGTGTGAGGATCACAAGTTGGAAGCCAAACTAGGCTAAAAAACAAGTAGCTCTCCATTCATATCTGTTCTACTTGAGCTTTATTCTTTAGGTACTGTTCCAGTTCAAAGGAACATTTTAAACAATTTTTTTCTCTCCCAGCTCTTGGTTCAAGTAAGAAAGCTGGTCAGTGGTCTGTTCTCTCCTATTCCTGGCTCCCAACTCATGGCCTGGAAGATGGACCACAAGAAGATCTGCAGGGGTTCTCCATACAAGATGATGGTGGCTCAGAACAGGGAGGAAATGGCAGCTGCTATGTTAATCCCAGGTAGGTTTTGAAAGCACAGTCATCAGAACTCCAAACAGAATGTATCTTGGTGTGACAGATAAAAAGAAATTAAGAGTTACTGAGAGGTTTTTAACAGCCTGATAGGTTGGAAAGGAAAGTTGTGATTCTCTGAGACTGGGAAGAGCACTGTGGGTAGGGCTGGTATGGAAAAAACTGGGAGTTTGTCATAAACATTGGCGGTAGATGTCCATTCAGTGTGCGTGTGGATTCATCAAACAGAGCTGGCTCTGAGTCTGGAGCTCTGGAGGAAGGTCTGAGGTGAAGACACAAGTCTGTAAAACTTGCCATGCTTCAGATCACTCAGAGAAGCCAGGTAGATGCAAGATGGGTGTGGATGCCATGTGCCCATTCAGCACTGTATCCAGGGAACACAGCACCAGAGCCACAGTGGGTTTCCACACTAGTCTGCATTAGCAGTTACATAACATAGTTACCACCCCAAACACACTGTCCTCATCAGCTATTTGCTAGAGTTCTGTGCCAGTTCTGTGGCTTAAGAGGAATGTGAAGAATGTGGACCCAGCCTGGGAGAAAGGCAGCCACACAGATGAACAAATGAAAGAAAATGAAACCCAGCAAAGGTTAGAGGGAATGAGATGAGCTTCCCAGAGATAAGCACAGCATCAACTAGTCCTGTTCTCTGAAGCAGAGGGTCTGAAAACCCAGAAGCAACTTGCTTAGGTCAAGCAAAGAAAAAGGAAACAAGTTTCCCTTGCAGCACAAGATACTTAGATCAGAAATAAAAGGGAGAGTCAGCACCTACTGCATTAGGTGTAAGACCGTGAGTTGGATTCCCACTGTACATCAGAGAAGTGAAGTTCTAACAGATTAGATGTTTGCCAATAAGAAAGCTTCAATTCACATCTCTGTGTGGTGAGTCTAAAGCTGTGCTTTTTAAAGACATCAAGCTCCATAACAGGGATTAGATGATAAAACAGGAACTGATTTCTGAGTAATCAAGCTCTTTGCTTCAGACCTTTCAAAGATTATTAAAGATTCTGAGCAAAATTGAGTACATTTTCACAGCCTGGGTCTACCAAATGGCAGTGAGTCTTCAAATTCTTTCCTGGCCTGAGGTCACAAGGTCAGATCCTGAGAGCAACATCACAGTCACCAAGCACAAACAGCACAGTTTTTCGGGCAGCTCATGTGCTCCTGTTTCCCTACTTCATGATAAAACATGTTCTCAGCTTTCTAAACTTCTGGGCAGGTCTGGGAAAACAGCTCAGGAGCAGACTTCCTGAGTATGCCTGCAGCCCCAAATTGCAGTATCAGCAGCAACAGCAACAACAACAACCAAAAAAATCCCCTTTAAACACACATTAAATTCAAAACACTTAAAATTAAAGCAACATAAAATAGAACACACATAATTCAATGGTTAAGCATCTGGGACGTGAGTCCAGAATGCTTTGTTTTACTTCAGAAGGAATCAGTCTAAAGTTATCAAGTGAGATAAGCTTGCAATAAATCTCAGGGTTTGGGCTGTGCTTGCTGTGTTCAAAAAGCCAGAACTGTCTTCAAGGACAAGAAATCCTGGGAAGCCAGACAGCCCCCGAAGCAAAGTAGTACATTAAGATACCTTAAAGAGGTGGGTGTGTTGGTACACACCTTTACTTTCAGAACTCAGGTAGATCTGTGAGTTCTAGGCCAGCCTGGTCTACAAAGTGAGTTCCAGGACACCCAGGGCTACTACTACACAGAGAAACCTGTCTTAAAACAAGCCCTTGGATACCTTAGAAACCACCCCACTCTGTCTGTGACCAAAAGTCAGTGCAGGAAGTCTACCCACATCAGGGCACACCCAACAGAGCAGCACCGAGATTCTCACTCATCGCACAAACACTTCTGGACTAGCACAGCTAGGGCTCAGAGACCACTTAGCCTAGACTCTTCCTTCATGAACAAGTAAATACCTCAAAAAGGCTGTGAGAGGGTCACTGGTGCCCACTGGATTAAACAGAGCCAACCATATTGTTTGAGAGCAAAAGTCTCTGCAAACCCAAGCAAAGCCAATTCTAATAACTGCTAGAGTAGGCCATTTCCTGAATGGAGGAGTTTATGGCCCTCACAAATGCCTGCAGAGCAGCTTGGGTGGGAGACAGAGCCATGCAGCAGGCAATCAGGGTTCAAACCCAGCTTCACTGCCACACAGCTGCTAATGTCCAGAAAGCCACTTGGCCTTCTCATCTGAGAAGCAGGAAGTAATGTCTTGCCTTACAGGAGACTGACAACAATAAACCAAAGTATATATGTGGTTCATGTAGAATAGCTGCAGCTATTGCTCATTTGAGACTTCCTCTTCAATTATCTTCTTCCTAACCATCCAGGATTATCTTCCTCTTCAATAATCTTCTCCCTAACCATCTCTGATAGTCCTATAGGCTAGTGCTGAGGACCTGCACACCAACACAAGTCCAGGAATCATTTATTCTGTGATGCAGTTTCAAGAGAAAATAGCTGTTTAGTTGAGTATCCAGTCCTGGGGCATGTATACATATAGCCCGCTCAATCAGCCCGTAAGCTGTGGAAGGCTACAGGTTCTCAGAGTTTGGGCTGTGTTTGCTATGTTCAAAAAAACAGGAACTGTCTTCAAGGACAAGAAATTCTGGGAAGACAGCCAGCCCCAGCAGCAAAGTGGTACATTAAGATATATTAGAATGGGCAGGTGTGCTGGCACACACCTTTAACCCCAAACCTACTTGTACATTTGTAATAGTATCTTTTATTCACCAGATGCAATTGTCATTGGAGGCTCACTGTTTAACAAGCTCACCCTTTCTAGTTCTTTCTGAACTCTGGCTGGCTGAATCAGCTCAGCTGTTCTGGCTCAAAACTCCTCTCCAAGCTGACTGATTCAAACGGGCTTCTCTCAGCTTCTCCTGAATTGTTCTGCTTCTGAACTACACCAAACTGTTCAAACTCAACTGAACTTATCTGAACACTCAACTGAACTTATCTGAACTGCATCAAAATGCCTGTACTGTACTGTGCTGTGCTGTACTGTGTAGTCCCTGAGCAGCACTGTAGGAGCTGTCAAAGAGGCAGCACCTACTTCCTGCCCCAGCCTGTGGCCACCATAAGGTACCACCACAGGAGCCTTCCACGGTGGCCTCACCTCTCCAACCTTTCCGAGCAGCTCCACAGCGAAGGTCACTTGTCCTGATTCAGAGAAAAGTGAGTTAAAAAAAAAAAAAAAAAAAAAAAAGGCACCAGTCCCTGAGCAGGAAAACCTACCAATCCTTGAACAAGAAAACCCACCAATCACAGAGCTCTCTGAGCTCAGGACTAGAAATCTCACCAATCCTCACTCTGCAAATCTCTGCACAAAAGTGCCACTCCCTAAGAAATATTACATAAAGTCTGTGTCCGTTCAGTTTCCTGCTATCCTCTCCCAGAAGCAGGGGCAGCCAACCCTGGATTTGTCCCTCCACACCCTGAACCCTCCCAATAAACTTTTTTATGTGATTTGCTGCCTGGTGTGACTCTCTCATTGGAAGAAGGCAAGAAGCAATGAAGAGAAGAAATGGAGCAGGGGTGAGGCTCCTGAGCTCCTCAGCTCAGCTGGGGACACCCTCCCCTAGGAGCTACAAGGCCTCTGCTGAGGAGGCTTCTCAGAGCTGTGTGGTTTCTGGGCTCCAGTGTTTCAGGATGCCCTTCCATTGGAAGACTGGCCCATCTCAGTGCTGTGTGGCTTCTGGGCTTTCAAGACCTAGGACATCATTCCATCTGAGCAGGAAGACCAACCTTGACTATGGTAATGATTTTATTGAGAGATATTTCTATGCAAATGATCAATTTCTCATTTAAGACAGATGCAGTTATTGGATCTTAGTAAAACTGTTAGAAAAGAAAGTATTCACATCAAGGGTAACTAAAGTTTAAAAAGATTAATTTGAATCATAAAATTTCCAGTTTTTGTCACTTGAATATTTGAATGATATGTATACTTTTTAGGCTTTACAATTATGGTAAAATCAGGAGAAAACTTCAGGCTAAATTAATGGTAAAGGCAAACAAGAAAGAAAGCAGTAAGGTAAGTTTTATTTTATTTATAACTCTGAAGTCATGTCTATGTGAAACTTCACATCTCCTATTTCATTTTGCCCAGATTTCTGGACTTCTCTTTCCATGTCCACCATGCATCTATTATTGTTTTATGTTGGTGCTATTTCATAAAATGATCTGTGTCAAAAGTTACAACTAAACTAAAAACAATATTTGAGAGACATAACTATAAACCACTAACATACCAGTTGACTTTCTAAAGTAGGAAGTCATTTGGGGGAAGAGCAGGGACAGGCTTTGAGAAGCCAGTGTCTGAGGGTACCCATATTTCAAAGTTGCCACCATGAAAGAGTATTCCTCTTCCATTTCCAGAAGCCACTCCAACACAAAAGAAACTGTACCGGTCTGCTCTGGGAAGTTATTTATAAAGAGTAAATATGATAAGATAATGATTCCTGATTTCTAATACACCGATACCTCCTCCAGCTGTGGAGGTAAAGCATATGACCACACCAGAACATAGCAGAGTAGTCCTTACCACTCAAAAGCCACCACAGCAAAGAGATAAATCCAGGACTCTCGCTGATGTACTTCAAGCCTTTTGAATTGATGCTCACATTGTACAGGGACATCAGCATTAGACTGAAATGCAAAAGAACACAGTGTTGACATGCTAGAGTATCTACATTGTATTTCACCTTGAATTCATCCCCTACGCTAAAGGACCTAAACATGTTTACACAGATGTCCAACTATGACATCTAGACAGAACGTTTACAAAGTAGAAGGCATGTTTAATGGTTTTCTTCTAAGGAAGGCCATAAGATAATGGGGATCTTTAGCAGTAACATTGTGGCACCACTTTCTGTGTGCAGAGAATCTCCTGAGAGATCTCACAACCCTAGTTACATTGTCTCAGCCCTTGTAGTACCATTAAGCTCTGCTTACAATGTTTAACCATTTTTGTAATCTAAAGTTTCAAAGCCTTCCATATCCTCCAGACCCACACGGTCAAATCTGTCAATGTAAATAGTCTTCACCCTGGTAACAACCTCTGTCTTAGTTACTTTTCTATTGCTGTGATAAAACACTATGACCAAGGCATCTTATAAAAGGAATTTGGGCCATATGGTTCCAGAGGGATGAGAGTCCATCACCATCAAGGTGGGGAGCATGGCAGACATGCAGGCCTGGTGGTACAGCCTCAGCTGAGACTTCATGTCTCAACCCATAAACAGGAAATAGACAGCATGCTGGGAATGTCACCTTAAAGCCTGCTCCCAGTGACACACTTCCTCCAACAAAGCCATCCCTCCTAATCCTTCCCAGATAGTTACATATAGTTACATCAGCTCAGGGCCAGGAAGTCAAACATATGATCCTATAAACCATTCCCATACAGACCATCATGCATTCTTTGGATAACGCTGTGATTAGACTTCAGATGGTTCACTGAACCTCAAGAACACAGTACACTACTGCGGGTTGCCTCAATATAAATGCAGGCTTGGTACTAAAAACACAGATCAGCCTGAGCTCAAATTCACAGAGATCAGCCTGCTTCTGCTTCCCGAGTGCTGGGATTAAAGGAATGTACCACTATGACCAGCAGTAAAAATTAAGAGAAACTAAAACATGACCAAGAAGCTAGGGCTACTGTTATGAATCATCAGAATGAATGAATGAATGAATGAATGAATGAATAGAACCTAGGTTAGGGAGATGTCTCAGTCAGTTAAGTGCTTTGCTACACAAATATGAGGACTTTAGCTCAATGCCAAGCACCCACACAAAAATAAAGCGTAACATAAAGAGGAATTGAAGAAGGCATCCAACATCAACTTCTGCTCTATATACATACATGAACACACACAAACAGGTACCCAAACATATAAATGTAAAAATCCTTTTAACAAAACTTATAAAAAGGAAAGCTATGAAGACTGGAGAGATGGCTCAGCAGGTAAGAATACCGGCTGTTCTTGTTGAGGACCTGGTCCAGTTCATGTTCAGCATCCACTTCTGACTCATGTACACATGCCCACCACAGACATACAATTTTAATTAAAAAATAAAATCATTTTAAAAATTAAAAAGCTGTAAATTCCAAGAGAAAGAAGAAACACTAAAAAGATGCAAAGAAAAAAGATAAATGAGAGTAGCTAGAGAAAGGCCAACTTTCTTCCAACTACGGATCTATGAAGGAGCTGCAGAAAAAAAAAAAAAAAAAAAAAAAGGTGTTTCAAAAAGGTAAGGTTGAGACTTTTCCAGAAACGAGGAAACAGCCTTTAGATTAAATATATACATATCACAATCCCACTACCGTATACCAAAACCAGAAAGTGCTCCAGAGTGTTAAAGTAAAAGACACTATCTACAACAGACATCCCGAAGCTGGACTCTCAGTACCAAAGCCAGGAGCCGGGGCTGGGGAGATAGCTCAAGTGCCAGCTGTGCAAACCCAAGACCTGAGTTTGAATCTCTACAATCCACATAAAGCTGGATGTGGTAGTATACAGGTGTTGTGAAGCAATTCCCCCAAGTTTGCCTTCCAACTTGGAGGGCAACTTTTTTGGACATGGGATGTAAATCAAGAAGCAGGGCAGGGACAGGGACAAGAGCAGATAGATCTCTGTGAAATAAAATAAATTTTTAAAAAAGACATAGGATGCAAAGGGAAAAGGAGACAACAGAGTATTCTAGAAGAATTCATCTAGGAGATGAAAAGACAGGATATTTTGGGGAGTACTGGGTAAAACACTACCTCCTTCTGGGAAACCCATTAAGACAAGAAGCAAATACTTAAAAATAGCTTCAGGAAGTTCCTGAAACTGACCAGATTCACTCGGCCCCTTCTTCCCCAAGAGCATATAAAATTCAGAGAGCTGAACGTCACTCTCAGACAAGCCAAGCTGCCAAGATGACTCTGAAACCAGCCCAGCCACCCAGAAGAAGCAAGAACCAGCTGAAGCATCTAGAAGAAATAAAGACTGGCTGAATTGCCTGAAATAGGCTCAGCCCAACTGAACAACCTGGAAAGGGCACTCTCCATCCTGGTGAGGGCCTGCAGGCTGCGCAGTGTGCTCCAGGTTTCTAGCGTTGGTAAACTGTTACACACAGTGGAGTGGGTTTTGGTGATACAACTGACTTTGAGTCGTTTCTGCTCCTGTAAGTAACCATATTCCCTTAAGTGACCTCAATAAAACTCATTGCTTCATCAAGTTGGGCTTTGTGGTATCTGCACTTTGGTCTGTTGTGGGCTCCCTATCTGGAGTAGGCGTGTCACATTGTTCCTACAGGGAGATGAGAGGCAGAGACAAGAGAATCTAGAAAATCACAGGCCAGTCTCACATACATCAGAAAGAAAAAGAAAGATACCCTTTCTCAAACAAGGTGGTAGACAAAGAGTAACTTGAGGCTTCTACCTGTGACTGTCGTATGCTTGCCCACATCCACACACATGAACACACATACATTGTATACATACATAGTATGCATTTTTTAAAGAAGGATGTCAGAGGGCAGGCAATGTGTGTTTTTCAAAAGAACAGAGGAACCACTGTAACCTCAGAATTAAAAGCCCACCAAAAAATAATTTCAGCAAATAATGTAAAAGAAATCTCAAGAGAGTTTCCCAGAAACAAACCTGAACTACAAAAATTTGAAAGAAAAACTTGAATCAGAAAAAAAAGAAAATGACCTATAAAAGTGTTTTGAGCTACAAAGAGAAATGGGAAAGGACAGCATAGTACAGATGCAAACAAGGAAGGAAACATTGTGAGCAAAGGCAGTAATAACAATGTCTAACACTGTGACTAATATTTTTCCAACAAACAGGGACACAGCCTCCAAACACATGTGGACCGGGAGGTAAGAATTAAATCCTTCTGAGGTCCTTCTATTGTTAGAAGAGAAAGGTATTCATTACATCAAGTAGACACCAAATATATCCAGGCATGCCTTACAGGGAGGCTAATCAGTGAGTAGAGGCTAGCCTTTAAAGCCCCAGGGAGAGAAGGAAACTCAGAGATGAAAGGCATTAGAGGAGCAAAGGGAAGGAGCAAGAAAAGAAAGGGAGGAAGGCATAGAGATAGGAAAAAAACCCCAAATAATCCTAATAAAAACAAGAAAGGATGCAAGAAATAAAGCCAAGGACTTCAATAGTTAGAAGTGTTAGCAGGTAGGATTATCTTGCCAAAAGGCAGATTGCAAGACTGGATTACATCACAACATAACCATGTAGCACACCTAAAACAAAAGTTCTCAGGAAGGGTGAAAGAAAAGGAACAGCAGAGGCGACAGCAAGCAAACACAAACAGAAAGGAAACACTGAGGAAGTGAAATCTATAAACTAAACCCAGAGCACTTTCCAGACAAGGAGGATAACTGCAATGCCAAACACCCAGTTCCTCAGAAAGCCATCATTCTAACTTGGCATGAATCTAGACTTGCTCCTCAAAAATACACCTCAGGAGAATGTGCAACAGCTCAACAGGTAAAGGTTCTTGCTGGCAAATCTGATGACCTGTGGGTCAGCTCCAGAGACCCACACTATAAAAGGAGAGAACGGACTCCCACAAGTTGTCCTGTGATCTCTGACTTTCACATGCATGCTATGGCACACACATATGTACGTGTACACACAAACACAATGTAACCACAAGTTTAAGTATATACTGTATTAAAGAACATATCAACAGAACTAGAAAGTAGCCGGTGCATAGCAGCAGGATCTCACGGTATCTAGTACATTACACTGATTCTCTGACTCACTGTGCAATTAAGTTTAAAACAATTTTAATTGTTTTGAAACAGGATCTGACTACATAGTCAGAACTGTCATCCTCCTGTTGCAGACTGACTTAAAATTATTTTTTTAACTTTTTTTATTTTTTATTAATTACACTTTATTCATTTTTGTATCCCCCCATAAGCCCCTCCCTCCCTCCCCTCCCGATCCCACCCTCCCTCCCCTTTCTGCATGCATGCCCTTCCCCAAGTCCACTGATGGAGGTTCTCCTCTCCTTTCTGATCTTAGTCTATCAGTTCTCATCAAAAGTGACTGCATTGTCCTCTTCTGTGGCCTGGTAAGGCTGCTCCCCCCTCAGGGGGAGGTGACCAAAGAGCAGGCCAATCAGATTATGTCAGAGGCAGTCCCTCTTCCCATTACTAGGTAACCCACTTGGACACTGAACTGCCATGGGCTACATCTGTGAAGGGGTTCTAGGTTATCTCCATGAATAGTCCTTGGTTTAAAATTATTTTTAAAGTAAGTTTTAAAACTCCAAGCAACATTTGGAAAGTTAAAATAATGTCTCCAGGCTGGAGAGATCACTCAGTTGAGAACACTTGCTGCTCTTCCAGAGGAAGAATTTAGTCCCCAGCACCCACATGGCAGCTCACATCCACATGGAACTCCAGGGGATCCGACAGCACCCACACTCAAGTGTGCAAACACATACACACATAATTTAAAAAAGAATTTTGCTCTCACAGCTAAAAAGAATGTTTCTATAAAAATAAGCCAAATAACTAACTACAAGTAAAGTCAGATGACAGTTAGAATTGAACAACAATGAATATATAGCATAAACTAGTGGAACACACACACATACAATTTAGGGGAAGGTGGGAACATAATG